TACTGCAAAATCCCCATTCCCTCCCCACTCCTGGGGGAAGGATATTGCAAAATCTCCATTCCCACCCTACTCTGGGGCCAGCAAGAGGTGGTATTTGCCAGTTCTCCAAACTACTCAAAATTTCCGCTACCGATTCTCCAGAACCTGTCAGAACCTGCTGGATTTCACCCCGGTACATACATACATTGTCTTGAATTTCTGCTGAAAAGGGGAAGATATATCTGAACATCAATCCTGGCAAAGTTAGAAGCAAGCAGTCTAACTTATTATCATAGTAACAACTGCCCAAAAGTGAGATATTTTAAGCCCTTTGCACCATATGGTCAGCAAAAGAGGGAACATCACTTTGAACATTGAATTCACTATAAATAGGGCTTGAATTTGATACATAGCAATCATTGGGATTTTTTCATAACAGCTTGCAGGGTGTATGTGCAATAAGCATGCTTATCAGAGGTCTGCAGCCTTGAATGCCTCTTGGCATTGCTTCTAGTTCTAATGTTTGACAAGAGGAGCCTGACATTGTACATCTAACAGCTAAATTCAATGAAATGAGCAGAATGTTCCACCAGCAGATTATTGTTCCTTTATATGTACTGACTTTCAAACTTTCTACACTCCAAATAGCTGCCACGCTGCTGTGCTGTGCATGCTACAATTTGTTCCAATGTCATTTTGCTCCAAAAAAAGAGATGTAATTCTTTATTCACCCCTCCTTCTGGAAGAAAGATTCCAGATGAACAGTTGCATGCTAATATGATTGCCAACACAATGTGAAGGCTTGCAGCCCTTTTAACATGAACAAATGTCAGATGTAAAAAGGGTTCATGGATGAAAGCCCACTTTGTCATTTTGGAAAACAAACATACTCTGTGTTTATATCATTATAGTGCTTTATATGTGAATACTATAAAAAATCTGCAAAGAAAGTTTGTCAAGCCTGTTCAATCTAGTGGTTAAAGGTGCTAGCCTAGAAATCTGGGACTGGGAATTCTAGTTCCACCTTAGGTATGAGATGGGGCCAGTCGCTCTTCCTCTCAGCTCAAACACCTAACAGGACTGTTGATACGGGGAAAATAGGAGAAGGAAGGAATATTATGTATATTTGCCATCTTGAGCCATTTATAAAGATAATAAAGGCAGGATGTAAATGAATAAACATTAGGAAAAGAATTTACAACCTTTAGGGCAGGGGTGAAATCCAGCAGGTTCTGACAGGTTATGGAGAACTGGTAGCAGAAATTTTGAGCAGTTCAGAGAACTGGTAGCGAAAATTTTGAATAGTATGGAGACTGGCAAATATCACCTCTGGGTGGCCCCAGAGTAGAGTGGGAATGGAGATTTTGCAGTATCCTTCCCCTGCCATGCCCACGAAGCCATCCCACAGAACTGGTAGTAAAAAAAATTGAATTTCACCATTGCTTTAGGGCCTTTAGTTGAAAAGATTCTGATAATCTGTGTGCCTCTTAAGTTTTAATTCATTCGTTCGTGCATTTATTGGTTCATTTATCAAATTTATCTGTCTTTGCTGTGGGTGACAAAAGAACAGTCAAGTCAAGCCACAATATTAAAATAACTTTATAAAAGACTCATAAAAGCACTATTATTATAAACGATTATTATAAATTAGGACAGTAAAAAATTAAAATGTACAAACAGAAAAAAAGGTAACACCTATAAATGGGAAGCCACCTTAGTCAAATATTTCTCAGCCTTGCATTGGAAATTTCTGCTCATGCCTCTTTGTCCATCTCCTTGTCAAAGTCTAAATTAACAAGGAAACATGAAATATCCAACAGGAAGAGGATAAGGCTTTCAGTCCTATCTTTCTGCAATAATAACCCAGGACCTCAAGATTGGCAGATAAAATACTAAGTTTCAAACTGATTGCAGATCAATGGGTAGATTTTGAAAAGGATGAATGCTACCTTGGGCACCATTTATGGCGTTTTTCTGTCCTGGTTTCTTTCTCTTATACAAAGGAAACATGGAGCATCAAATCAGTCTACACTGCTGTTGTCAGGTATTAAAATAAACTAAATTTTCCAATATTTTGTTCTACAACATAATTTCCCTTTCTCTACCTGTAGAAGAATTCTCGATAAGATGTATTTTCCACATAACACACTTAATATTCATGTTTTTCCTCAATATAACTTTTCTTAGCACTGGTATAAGACAGTCCATGGAAGGAGGATGCATTAGAGTACAATCTTGTAAATCTTTAAAGGACTCACTTTAAAGATATCACATGAAGATTTTAAGTCACCTTTATAGGATTGAGATATTTAAATTTAGTCGCTGGACTAGTGGAGTTGTGCAGTCAACCAGAACACACAGTTTTGGTTGATTGGTTGAAGAATACTGGCTCCTGTAGGCAATCTGCACTGTGATTGGTTGCTGTGAGTGTGTAGGAATTTCCCTTTTCCACCTGCCTTTTTCTTCTGTGTGCTCTGTATGCTCTGTGATTTACCTCATGATGCGCCTGTTTGCCTGACTATCTTGTCTGATGTATATATAGATGTAAAATATATTTATTTATATAAAACTACAAGTTTGTGTCAGCATCTCTGACTTTATATGTATATCTGATATAGAGCTCTGAAAACATGAAGCAGTGAAGATCTGCAAACATCTAGAACAGGGGTCAGCAACCTGAGGCTCTGGAGCCGCATGTGGCTCTTTCATCCCTCTGCTGTGGCTCCCTGTCACTCAAAATATGCATCACAACTGCCAATGTGCAACATCCACCAGCACACAATTTTTTTAGCTTTTCAACTATTGATAAATCCAAGAAAAGAAAAGTTTCAGAAGAAAATAGAATGTTTAATTCAACTGCATACAGTATGCTAGTTTTGTGTCCACTCAAGAAATAGTCAGGCATGGGAAGGGTTTTGTGGCTCCCGGTGTTTTCTTTTCTATGAGAAACAGGTCCAAATGGCTCCTTGAGTGTTTAAGGTTGCAGACCCCTGATCTAGAAAGTCCACAAGGATGTGATATCTCTTCACACAGTGGTAGCTGAATGAAAGAGCTACCAATTCAATACTGTCTAAACAAATGCCTCTGAGAAAAATTCAAGACAGTAACTTGGTTGCCCTTTTCCTCCTTCTCCTCCCCATTCTTAGGTATATCAACTACGAATCTTTGAATTCTAATTACTATAACCAATTGATAATTGATATCCACTCCCAACTTCTCTAGCCCCATGTAAAAGTCATCAAATCCCAGGACAAACCCTATCAGTGAATTTCATCAATTTCATTTTTAAAAAAATTAAAAGTAGCTCATCAAAAAATGAAAGGATGAGGAATGGAAAATGTCTCTGATAGGCACTAGCCATTTCTTGGGTTCAAATGATGAGCTAGTATTTTGAACTATTTATAAAGTAGTTCAGCGGTGAAAATGTCCCTAAGTACCAAGTTCAAAAAGGGCTTCTAGCTAGTACTTTGTGAATTGTAAACAAAGAAATCTATAGCAGAAGATATAATATCCTCTACAGATACAATTAAGGGAATTGCTTTAATGCACTTGAAACTTTTAATCTTCCCAATCTTTGAAGTGGCTGCGAGGATTGCTTCTATTAAAGTTTGAAGAGCCCATGCTATGCTAAAAGTTTTACAATGATGTAAAGCATTAAAATAAATAATCTTAATTTGGTCAGATCTATATTCATTAACTGTATTACCTAGCAAGGGAATAAAAATACGAAGTTTTAATTCTACTAATGTATTTCACTTATGCATTAGCTGGGCACTATAGTAATTAAGGATATTGTTGAACAACATTCACTCACTCTTTACTAAAGCCAAATTTTCACTGTTATTCACTGGGAGTTTTTCTCTCCCTCTTCCACTACCCGCCTTTCTGTGTGTGTGTGTATACAATCCAAACTAAATCCTAAAAACTGGACTTAATGGAACTCAATGCTGGCAAACATGTAAAGATGATGTTTTAGTGTATTTAAACATTTAGTTTTAGTACTAATGCAACACTCAGTACTAAAATAGCCTTGCATTTAATACTAATGAAACACTCAGACAATAATGATGATGTACGACATAAATGTAACAAAACTCAAATGAAAATTACCTCCTGAACTTAAAATTGCAGGAAGAAGTTAAATAGTAAACAGTACAATACGGCACAAAATAATCTCAGTTTACATAACAAACTGACTGAATGATCCCTTCTGTCAGACAACGTGTCCATGCACCAGGGTGGATTTGATTTAAATCAAGTCAAATTAAATTACGATTTAAATCACTACTAAAAAGGCTTGATTTAAATCAACTCGATTTAATAAGTATTATTAAATGTCTGAATACTTTCTACTTTTAAAAGGAGAAAGAGAGAAGAGGATTAGAATTTTTAAGCAGAGTTAATATTTTTCATACGCAAAACCTCATCACCCTGTCCAGTACTTTATTCCAGTCTTTTCTCATTATGGATTTGTTTCCGTTGTTCATGCCCTGTTACACAATTTCAGTTTAATTAATTATCCCGCTGATATGAAATCACCAAAGAATTCTTTCTTTCTAGGTACATGCAAACTCATTAACATCAAATATAATAGATTTTTTTAAAACCACCACAGAAAAATACTTAAAGAAAAAAACACTCAGTTATGGAATGAAATTCTGACTTGTTTTATCACTTCTATCTCAATAGCAATTTAACTTTCTTGAAAATAAATGTCTTATTTAAATTTTGGGTTAGAACACTACAAGGCATAACTGTATTTGAAATGTATTCAAATATGCAAATGGAATACATTTCCTAGAAGGTCACCCAGTAAGACTCCTGATTCAACTTGCTTTCAAAAACGAACATGTAATTTAATGACAAAAGAAAAAGAAAATAATAACCGTAAGAATAGCTTTAGAATCTTCAGTTTAAGTAACGAACGTGAGACTAAGAAATACTATATGAGTTTTACTGCCATCCAAAGTCAACAAAACTGCAGAAAAATGTTAAAAGGATTTTGTGTGTTTGATGTTTTTCCAGTGAAGAAAAGAGAAATGTGAACAGGGAGCCCTCTGAGGTAAATGTCAGAGCCAGTGTGCAATGTATTTACAGCCAAGTTTATCATCTTGGTATACTAAAGTTGGGTGTGGCCATGACGTTCTATAGAATCAAAACAAGATTATGAGATTAACAGATCTAATTCAATTGCCACGTTAAATGCTGTTGCCCGCTTGTCAAATGAACAGTTTGCTTGCACCGTGCAAAACCATCAAACAAGTGAGCTTACCACTACATTCTAATTAATAGTCCATATTACTGGCACTCACTGCTTTAATCTGCCCTATAAATGATATTTCAAGATTCAGGACAAAACACAATTCGTGATTTTCCATTTCATGTAACCTAACTTCATTAAGGGGCAAATTAGTAGTGAATGTTTCTTTAAAGAAAAGTTTGACAATAGGAGAACTCCTCACTTTGTATTCTATGCTACAGCCTCACAGGGGGTTGGACTAAATAACCTCCAAGGTCACTTCCAATTCTGTTACTGTTAGATGACACTGACAGAAGTCCTTTGTATTACATATGAACAGTTTAGCTGTAGATGGGGAATTCATGTATATCCTGTCCATTTACAAAGAGGTGGATATATACAGATTTTTTTAAGGGAAGTGCATTATATATTTGATTTTCATATGAAATATGAACTAATACAGACCAATAATAACAGATACAAAACTTAATAGCAATGGTACTTGGATTTATATAGTGCTTCATAGTGCTTTATAATCCTTGCTAAGCAGTTTTCAGAGTCAGCATATGGCTCCTATATCCTGGGTCCTCATTTTACCAACTTCGGAAGGATGAAAGGCTGAATCAAAGGTTTGAGCCAGTCAGGATCGAACTGCTGGCAGTTGGCAGAATTAGCCTGCAATGCTGCATTCTAATTACTGCGCCACCATGGCTCCTTTAGATCAAGACTGAAATCTCTAGAACTGGCACACTGTTTTCATCCAGTTTTATTAAAATACACTGGAATTCTAGAGCTCAGTGCTTCTATCCTTAAATGAGGCTGACAGAAAGGCCATCATTGAGACTTATTTATAGATTTTATTTATCCCACCATTATCGTTTTTATAAATAACTCAAGGTGATGAGCACATATTCTTCTTTCCCCTCGTATTTTCACCACTACAACCTCTATGAGGAGGACTGCACTGAGTCAGAGTGACTGGCCCAAAATTACCAAGCCAGTTTTCATGCTTAAGGCAGGACTAGAACTCAAAGCATCCTGCTTTTTAGTCTGGTGCCTTAACCACTAGACCAAACTGCCTTCCATAAACTGAAATTATAACTTATTGTGCTTAAGAGATCTCTATATTTCTGATCATGATCAATTGTTCAGAAGCCAAACTAGTTTAATATATATATGGGATAAATAGAGGGCATTAATGGAAACTAAAATTCAGAACTTCCCAGAGTCCACTAAATTGCCTACCTCTGTGTGCCTGTATGATTGTGAAGGTATATAAAATTAATATTTCATACTAGATTATCTTAAACAGATATATGTTACCTGTTCTTGTCTCTCCAGCCATTTATCTACCATGGGATGAGTGGCACTTAGTGAAGAACGAGCATTATCCCTCTGAAATTGGTTAGAAGACCAGGCACTGGTGTCCCGAGGGAGACTTCTGTAATTTTCATCTTTCTGTTTCAAAACAAAGGGAGGAAACTCCTATGATATAAAGCCAAAGCAAAAAATATTGTCTAAGAACAGCAACCTTAGAGCAAGACTTTAAAAGATAGCTCTCCAAGACTGACTGATCAATAAACAAAATGAGTTTGTTTGGAATATTTGCACTGCAAATCTTCTGTAGAACTTCAAGGGATCCTTGACTTACAACTACAATCGGGACCAGAATTTCCATTCCTAAGCAGGATGGCTATTCATTGAACTGTGCCTCATTTTATGACCTTTTTTGTTAAGCAAATCACTGCAGTTATTAAGTGAATCACATGGTCAGTGAGTAAATATGATTTCCCCCATTGGCTTTGCTTACTGGAAGCTAGCTGAGATGGTTACATATGGCAATTTGATAACCCCAGGATCATAAATACATGCCTGATGCCAAGAACCTGCATTCTGAACACAGGACCATTGGTATGGTGTGATGAGTCACTTTTTTATGCTACTGTAACTTCAAACAGTTGCTAAATGAATAGTTGTAAGTAGAGGACTACCTAACGAATACTCCCAAACTCCCTGTTTCATCATTTTATTCATTTATTTTATTAGATTTCTATACCGCCCTTCTCCCAAAGGACTCAGGGCAGTGAACAGCCAAAAACATCATGACCAACAAAAGATGAATCCAGCTAATTAAGCAGTCATGCAAGAAGCATGTGCTTCGTATCGTTAGGATTCTGGGTTGGAGGTTAGCAAACCCACATTCAAGACCCAAGTACTGTTGTATGGTGGGGTGACTCCCATCATTCACTCCAGCTCCTTGATAGGTATATGTAAGGAGCACCCACTAATGTGCCCTGGGCACCGGTGATGTCGCCAGCTAATCCTTTCAACCTGGATGTGTGTTAAACACTTCCTCCAAAATGAATGAGACAAGGTTTGGCTAATTTAGTGAATATCTTAGGTATAGCATTGTTATCTGGTTTCTCTTTAGAATCAAATCCACCGGAATGTCAACTAGTGAAGCTTCCCTGACCTGCTCTCGAGTTGCCATAGGCAGGGGGATGGGAAATCGTGCCTCGCAGCTGCACCAAGGAATTTACTCCTCAGTCATAACAAGACACATTCTGGCTGAGCAAATCAAGGTTATCTCTGTGGATACCAGCAATGCCTGGAGGGAGTGACTTCTACAATACCGCGAAATTACCTCGTTGGGGAATGTGACCAAGTGACAGATTTTGGAGGGAGAGGAGGAGGCAGAAACAGGGTTAGAGGCAAGGGGTGAAGGGGTGAAGTCAGAGTTGGCTTCACCTAGGTAATGCTGACATGGTGCTCCTAATTAAAGACTGGATTTTTATTGCCAGATGGCTTGAGACTCTTAATTGCATTAGGGCACCGGTCGGAATACATTAAGAAAGCAGTATTTATTTTCTGCCTGATGCCTGTAAGTTTCTGTCTGCCATTATAAACTCAAGATGTGCCCATGTGTGCCCATCTGTCTATCAAAATAAAACAGAACTAAACTTTTATTAAAATGTAAGTAGGGGGTACAACAGGCTCTGAAGCAGGCCCTAGAAATTTCTCTTTGTGCTACTAGCACATATATCCAAAAGCCTTTGGTAAAAGGCAGCAGGTCAGATACAGACCTTTCCTCTTTATGTCAGAAATGTATTTGCAATTACTAAAAGCCAGAAACAATTATTAAATTAATTGAAATGGTGTAAAGGTAAGATAAAAGTCAAGACAAGCAAAATAAATTAATGGGAATGAAACTCACTCCAAAGCCTTAATTTACTGATGTGAATTTACTATATGACAACTTTTGAGTGAGCTGATAATCATCCTTGAAAACAAGTCAGAAAGATAATGAAGAGTTAATTCCCATTTCTATATTGACTGATAATTATAATTTCCTGTGTGTACTTTTGAAACAGGATTGTCTGAATAATCCTGGATCATCTTTCAATTTCCATTAAATTACCTCTTTCGGAACATGTGTATGTACATCTTCAAACTACCAACACTAGGATCTTCAGAGACTATACATCTATTTCAATTGCATAATCTTATCTTACTTCTAGTTTACTACAGAACCACTGTTTATTAGATTTTTATTCCACCTTTATTATTTTTACAAATAACATACATACTCTTTTCTCCTCTTATTATGGACTAAAAACTCAAAGTAAAATTTAAATCTTAAATAAAATAAAACTTAAAATATGTCTGGTTCTCACATAAATGGAAATCTTGCCCCTACACAAGTAACTATTTGCATAAAAAAGAAGAACTTCTAGTCATCTAGTTAATTATTATAGTCCAGAATCAAGGACTCTTGAAGTAGAGAAAAAACATAACTTTAAATGTATATATTTAATGTATATGTGTATATATATATAATACCAAATTTCTCAAAAGTATACATTATGATAAATGGCTATTATGCAACACTGAATATCTGAATATCTGATAGAGAAAATATCATAGTGAGTTTACAAGGATCATGCAAAACTAAAAATATTAAAATTAGGCCTGGGAAATCACTATTCTTTCTCAAGCATAATTAAGCCTGGAAACAGGGAAGTAAATTAAAATAGCAAAGAGGTCAATTATCATAATAGTCCTCTGTGAAAAGCTGTCCAGGGCTCAGAATCAGATAAGCCAGTTATCTGATTAATGATTTCAGTCAGTAGAAACATTTCAGGAATTCAAATAGGTATACCCAAGGGTGGGCTTTAAAAATTTTAGTAAGGGGTTCTCTGCCCGGTTGCTGGGTGGGCATGGCCATTGTGGGCGTGGCCTAGTTGACCTCTTGTTTTTGCCCTCCCTGGGCTCTGGAGGCCCTCTTCCCAAACATCTGGTAGGCCCGTTTTTTGCCCTCCCCAAGCCTCCATGTGTGGCCTGCACTTATCTGCATCCAAAATGGGCTGTGTGGGGATTCCTGGGAGGGAGTTGGTAGGCGTGGCCAGCCAGGAGTGGGATTTGGGGGTTCTCTGAACTGCACAGAATCTTAGCTAGAGATTATTCCGAACCCCCACCAGCCCACCTCTGGGTATACCATATAACTCTTAACTATAAAAAACTACTAATACCAGTATGTGTCAGCTATAGTGTGTGGCCAAAACAAAGTTTTAACACCTCTATATTTGAAATGTCTACCTACCTAAGACTACTGACTCAACAGATCTATTTGGGAATGAAATGGAGGGTAGACAGTCATTTCTTGCCCTATCTCCCGATGTGTACATTGGATTTCACATGGATCAGAGATCTATCTATCATTATTTTTGTAAACTACAGAGTCACTGAGAATGAGTGGGTGGCCAAATTTAGATGGGTGGGTGGGTGGATGAGTGAGAGAGAGAGAGAGACAGACAGACAGACAGACAGACCAATCTATGCACCAATATCACACAGTGTTTTGGGGCAATATACATAATAAAACAAAGCACATACATTAAAATTCATTACCATATTACAAATGCAACCAGAATAAATTAAAAGAATAAAAACTCAACATAAAAAGAATATGTAAAAATCTGTTTTTAATGAATTATGCTGTAACATAGCACAGAGGTCCCAAATCCCTGGTCCATGGACCAGCACTGGTCCGCAGCATGCCAGAAACCAGGCCATGCAAATAAGCCAAGCCCCATCCATGGGATACAGGCAGCATGTAAAACCATACCCACTCCAATCCACGGAAAATCCACTCTCCAGGGAACTGGTCCCTGATGCCCAAAAGGTTGGGACCACTGATCTAGTAGATACCACTTTATCACAGGATCCTACAGTAGTTGACAAAATTGTCATGTTTAAGGGCCTTCAAGAAGGCTAATGGGGTCGGAGTCACCTTCACTTTCGGTGTATTTAACCACAGTGTTTGAGAAGAACTGTATTGAAACAATCACTATAAACTAAACTTGCATCTTTAAAAAAAACCTGGCATCTTAAAGTTTGCTTCCTTCTTAGCTAGTTTTTCACGTATCAATATTCCATATTTTTCGGAGTATAAGACACACCTTTTTCCCACCTAAAAGGGGGTGAAAATTTAGGTGCATCTTATACACCGAGTAGCCCCGCCCACCCACTGGCCCCCACCCTTTGGCCTCTGTCTCGCAGCAGTTATATCCTTGCAAGCAAGCAGCAAGGCAAAACAGCTGCTTTCTGCTTCAGCGCAGCCTAATTAGCACAAGTTGATTGGATCGGCCTCCCGACTCTCAGCTGATTTGCTCTCAGCTGTTTTGCGCAAGGCTCTGCTGCTTGCTGCAAAGAGGTAAATTGCTGGAGCAGATTTTTTTTTTCCTTGTGCTAACCAAGCTATGCTAAAAACAAAAACGAAAGTAAAGCAGGCTGTTCGCTGCAATGAGGCAAAATTGCTCAGAGTCAGAGAGAGATTTCTTTTTCTTCTTTTCCTCACCAAAAAAGGTAGGCGCATCTTATACTCCAGTGCGTCTTATACTCCAAAAAATACGGTAAACACATATCAACATACATCACATATCAAGTGATGTTTTTGTTGTATTTTCAGTCGTAGCTTTAGCACCATCTTGGTAAGCAGGGCTTATGGAATAGCATGGACATAAACCATTTGTTTTGAAGCACATCAATATTTAAATGACTAGATGTATTTAGATATGGTAAGTTTATCTCAGTTTTGTTTCCATAAGTAAACTATGTGAATTTGCATAGACTTCAACCTTATGTTGAGACTAAAGCCATTTTCAATTCAGGTATTCCTCCACATACAACAGTTCATTTAGTGTCTGTTCAAAGTTACAAAATCACTGAAAAAGCCACTTATGACTGTTTTTCACACATGCAACCATCAAAACATCCCCATGGTTAAGTGATTGAAATCCAAATACTTGGCAACTGACTCCTATTTATGATAGTTGCAATGTTCTGGGGTCATGCGGCTACCTTTTGCAACCTTCTGACAAGCAAAGTCATGTTCACTTAACAACCATGTTACTAATTTAACAAGTGCTGTGCTTCCTTCAACAACTTGGCAAGAAAGGTCATAAAATGGAGCAAAATTTACTTAGCAAATATCTTGCTTATCAACAGAAATTTTGGGCTCAATTGTGGTCATAAATCAAGGACTACCTGTATTTCAATAACATTCACTAAATAAGTGAGAGAATAGAATAGAATAGAATAGAATAGAATAGAATAGAATAGAATAGAATAGAATAGAATAGAATAGAATAGAATAGAATAGAATAGAATAGAATAGAATAGAATAGAATTTTTTATTGGCCAAGAGTGATTGGACACACAAGGAATTTGTCTTGATGCAAATGCTCTCAGTGTACATAAAAGAAAAGATTCATCAAGAATCATAAGGTACAACACTTATTGATAGTCATAGGGTACAAATAAGCAATCAGGAAACAATATCAATATAAATCATAAGGATATCAGCAACAAAATTACAGTCATACAGTCATAAGTGGAAGGAGATGGGTGATGGGAACGATGAGAAGAACAATGAGAAGAAGAGTGATGGGAACGATGAGAAGATAGAAAATTGTTTCTATTTGTGAGATTTATCCCCCTTTACAGTAAAAAGAAAACTCCATATTCTTGTGTTATTTTTTTGCCTATTAAGGCTTCGCTTAAAAGTCACAGACAAACTAAATTCTCCCTTGTGTCACATTAAACTTTTGATGACCTAATGATGACTTATTTAGTGAATATCCATCCATATTTTTTGGAGTCAACATGTAAGTGAATTGCCACTGGCTTCTTCTAAGATATTCCCCCACTTTCTAAGATATTTCCCCACCTTCCAGAACTTCAATATATTTGCAGAATTTTGCCAGATACATATACAAGAAACGAAACATTGGACTTTCTGCCTTGAATATAATGGTCATTAAACTATACAACTTCCCCCTTCTCTGCATTAACATATTTATCCACATTCCTGCGCTTAAAACAATTAGTTAATTGTCTTAAAAATCCCATTACGCCCTTGAAATTTTGATTTATTTTTTTAATCTTGTGTATTCAGAAACAAATGCTGGAGTTGCTGGATCTGATACAGTGCTCAGTATAATTAAACGAACGGGAAAACATTGTTGATATTTATCAAAGTAATAATGGCACAAATACTGGATTATAACTGAAGTAGATTTCTGGGAGGGAAAAAATGTAATCTACATGTTTTGTTTAAAGGAGTTGTCTATAACACTTCCCATTGTCCTACAGAAATTTTGCACCTACTTTATCTTTCAGCTTTTAATTGTTTCCATCTCCTTGTCACATTTTGATCATTTTATATCGATATATATGTCGTAGTATATTATCTTGGTTTTGTCATCTTTCTTTCAAGGTCCCTCTCGAGGTCACTTTTTA